TTTCTCTCTCCCCCATCCCCATCCCTCTCTCTCTTTCTCTTACTCTCATTCTCTTTCTCTGCCTTACAAATAAATAAGGCTAAATTATTTTTTCCAAAAAAATAATACTACCAGGTAATAATATTTGAGCAGTTCAATCTCTGCTATTCTCAATACATACAACATACCTGTCTCTAATGCATCCTGTGTGATTTTAACTTGTTATGTATAGGCAACATCATTAAGTAAGACACTGTGTGTAAGGGTTATTGAGCTAGCTACCTTTTATGTAAAGGAGACACTAGTATATTTTAATTATTTCTTAAGTCATCACTTAATTGTCTATGGGTGATGCTAACCTTGGTGATGTGATGAGTTTTGGGATGTCTATTCCTGCCGTATGTTTTTATTTTCTTCTGATCATTGACAGTAAGGGAAAGGAAATGACCCAGAAGTTGACACCAGAAAGCCAATACAAGCTTTTGATAGTCCCTACTTTAGAGACAGAAATAGAGGAGCAGCTGCACTCGCGATGTTTGAATCAGTTGCTGCCAATTAATCCATGAATGGACAACATCTCATGCTCACCTTCCTTTCTTAGTAACCCAATGTTTTCATCTACAAAGATCATCTTCCTTCTTCCTCAGCATTTTTCCTTTAGGTACCTCTGATGATTTGGTGGCGTTCAAGTCTATATCTAGTACAACTGTTCCTTACTTAATGTCCCACATCCAGAAACTGATAGCTCCATTTCTAATTACATCCTGAATATAAGCAGCTCTCGCTATCATGTACAGTGCCATCCTCAGGAGTACTTGTTTCAGTCGGCTCTTCCAGTTGCAATCAAGCTTAATGTACGGCGGTCCCTACCACCTATGTAAGAGACCAGGCTTGAGTTTCTAGTTCCTGACTTTAACCAGCCCAGCCTTGGCTCTGTTAGTATTTGGGGGAGAGAAATCACAGATTTCTCTTTCTCTCTTTCTTCTTCTGTATGTGTGTGTGTGTGTGTGTGTGTGTGTGTGCGCGCGCGCGTGTGTGTGTGTGCCTTTTAAATAAAATGAAATGAAATAAACTGTTTTAAAGAAAACAGTTATGCACTGTGACAAAAGGTTTACTGAGATTGTTTTTAGTAATCATGACAGTGAATCAAAAGACATACACTAACTTTTCTGATTATACAGATAAAGAAATGAAGACTAACATAAAGTGCAGCCAAAGCCTAAATCCCTTCCTACTCTGCTACAAAAATTCTGTTCTGTCCATCACGCTCAGGATGCAGAGATTATAAGGTCATTTTTCCCTGCCCTCAAGGAGATTCCAATCATGAAGATAAACCATATCCTGATAGTCCAGAATTTGTAAAAGACAGCAAATGATAAAGGCTTCCAAGATTAGAGAGATTACTTCCAAATAGAAAGAATCATTTGGCTTTAGAGATTGATGACACTGTGACTATGGCAGTAGGAACTGTGACCCCCTGGGAAGGTTAACTTTAGACACAAAAGTATCTGTGTATATGCACTCTGCCTTGAAATGTTTTTATGAAGCCATTCAATTTTTTCCTTAAGTTTTTACATGGTGAGAATGGGGTGGGAAAATACTATGGATGTCTGATATAAAATTTTATGAATTCCAGATATGCAACAAAGAGATGATACACAGCACCATTAGTATGGAAATTTGTGAAATTTCAGAGCCATCCTGGAAATCCACACACCAACACTAACAAATCCATGCATTAAAAAGTTCTCTAGGGCCCAGCACGGTGGCGCAAGTGGTTAAGGTCCTTACCTTGCATGCCCGGGATCCCATATGGGCGCCGGTTCTATCCCGGCAGCCCAGCTTCCCTTCCAGCTCCCTGCCTGTGGCCCGGGAAAGCAGTTGAGGACGGCCCAAAGCTTTGGGACCCTGCACCCACGTGGGAGACCCAGAAGAGGCTCCTGGCTTCGGACCAGCATAGCACCGGCCGTTGCGCTCATTTGGGGAGCGAATCATCAGACGGAAGATCTTCCTCTCTGTATATCCGCCTTTCCAATTAAAAAAAAGTAATAAGAATAAATCTTAAAAAAAAAGTTCTCTAGGCAGAGCCAGGCAGGAAGGTACATATGCCATACTGCCAAGGCAGGTCACCAACCAAAGCACATCTGAGATGTCATCCTCGAAGGAAATGCATTACTACTGCACAATTACCATTGCAATTATATTCCTTCACAAACAGAGCAGGTTTATTTGTGATTTGGTTTAATTGGGTAATTTTACTTTCATTTCTTCAGTAATTGATTTGAATACAACAGAATTGATAACTATCTTATAGATACACACACATTTCTTTTCAAACAAGGGTATTTGAGTTATCTACCTAAGAGTCCTGAGACACACAAAAAGCAAAACTACTCAGTGAGGGTTGTAGGCAGCTTCTGGTTTTCAGGCAATGCTTCCGACCACGTGCTATTGATGATGACCAGAAGCGAACTGAAAGTTCTTCCTAGAAGACTGATAAAATATACGTATTGGTATATGTTTCTTAGATATTAACCAGCTTTCCTTGTCATATCTTTGTGTCTACCAACAAAAGAAGAGTTTTTATTCTGCCTAACTCTCCTTTCTGCCTAACTGGTAAGTCACCATTCTGGAAGCTCTATAGCTATGGTCTCTAAAGCTCATGACCCTTTTGACAAGACAGATACGTATGGCCCTGTTTTAGCAATACAATTGAGATTCCAAAGTTGATGTAGTAACCTAGGACCTACAGATTTGAAAAGTATCAGAACTCACTATTGACACAACACAATGGAGAGAAAGAAAATGCATTCAGTAATCGAATTTTTAAAATATCTGGAGCTAGCATGATGGCTCAATTGGCTAGTCCTCTGCTTAAAAGAGCTGTAATCCCTAATGGGCACTGATTTCTGTCCCAGCTGCACCCCTGTTTGTGGCCTAGGGAAGCAGTGGAGGCCCAAAGCCTGAGATGCTGCATCAACGTAAGAGACCAGAAAGAGGCTAACACCTCTTGGCTTCAGATTGTCTCAGCTCTGCTTGTGGCGGTCAGTTGGAGAGTGAATCAGTGCAGGAAAAATCTTTTTGTCTATCCTCTCTGTAAATCTGCCTTTCCATTAAAAGTAAATAATTCTTTTTAAAAAATCAATTAAGGATTTTCAAAAGCACATAAAATGCTAGCAAAGTACCACCAGATACAACAGATTCTGAGACTACTTAAATAGACATAAGGCTCCCATCTCAGTACATTTGATGTTAGATACAGAAGCATTCTGGATACTATAAACTGTCTAAGATGTTCTTCATGGGCCCAGTTCGGTGGTCTAGTGGCTACAGTCCTTACTTTGAACATGCCGGATCTCATATGGGCATTGATTCTAATCCCAACAGCCCCACTTTTCATCCAGCTCCCTGATTGTGGCCTGGGACAGCAGTATAGGACGGCCCAAAGCCTTGGGACCCTGTACCCGCATGGGAGACCTAGAGGAAGCTCCTGGTTCTTGGCTTTGGATCAGCTTAGCTCCTACCATTGTGGCTGCTTGGGGAATGAATTATCAGATATCTTCCTCTCTGTGTCTCCTCCTCTCTGTATATTTGACTTTGCAATAAAAATAAAATAAATCTTTTAAAAAATGTTCTTCACTACTCTGAAATGGCTTAAAAATTGTTCTATACAAGTCCAATTGAGACCATGATCTTTTTACAATGTATAGATTTAGAAAACCTTTCCTTCAATAATATTTGTATCTGATAAAATTTTACTGAAGCTTTGTCACCAGTTTAACTTCAGAAAATGTTTCAACAAAAACAACTCAACAAGGGGATTTTAAAGCTCTGTCGGAATATGATCTCAAGAAACTGTTATGAAACACTCAAACACAGAACCTTAGAAATTTCAAGAGTTAGATGGAAAAATCACAAATTAAGAGAACAATAACAACAACAACAAAACTGGAAGCAAAACCCTATATCTTCTGCTCAATAGAAGTTCCTTCTTCATTGTTACTTCCCAAGACTAAGACGAAAACACACACACACACACACACACACACACACACACACACACACAGTTCTTCCTCCTTTTAGCATGTTTAGAGTCTCCTTACCTCTGCAAGCCTATTATCCACTAAAACGGAATGAAAAAGAAAGTTGCTGCTGATGGACAAAACCAAAGTTGTTGTCATCATTGGCAATTTAGAAAGATAACTGGTGAGGATATCTCAACTACACAATCGCTTGTATAAAAGATAAAAGCGCTAGATGAGGCCCAGATGGCCACTGGAAACAGTATAGTTTATAACAACCACCTATTCTAGGGACTACTGTTATTCCATTTTATTTCTATTTTTATTTTTTTTGAAAGATTTGGAAGGTAAAGTTAGAGACACAGAGAGATCTACATCTTCTGGTTCACTCCTCAAATGATTGTCATGGGCTGAGTTTGGGCCAGGCTCAAGCTAGGAACTAGAAGTTTCCTCTGGGTCTCCCATATATGTTCAGGAACCCTGGGCCTTAGGCCATTTTCCTGTGTTTTCCCAGGCATATTAGCAGGGAGCTAAATCAGAAATCAGCACCTGTACGATAGCTGCATGACAGGGAGCTGCTTAAAATGTACACAGTGCCAGTCCTTAATTCTGCTTTAATCAGTTAATCCTTTATTTTCAAAACCTTAGGACCCAGGTATGCTAGGCAATCTAGTTCAATTTCCACCCCTTGGTTCTCACATATCTGATAAAGTATGCTTTTTTCCTATGGAATCTCACTGTTTCTTCATCTACCTTCTACCAAAAACCACTGTTCGTTACCAAGCACTGACTTGTAAATACTGGTTTCTCTTTGTATTCCTTTCTCCTTGAGCTAGTCCTCTTTTATATTCCCCATACTTCACCACCCCTCTGATCTCTTTTTTTAAGTTAGTTTCATTGATTGATTTGGAAGTCAACAGCCATTCAGAGAGATGGAGAGACCAAGGTTTTTCACCTTCCAGGTCACTCTCCAGATGAGGGCTACGGCCAGCTGGAGCCAAGCTGAAATCAAAAGCCAGATCATTCTTATAGCTATCTTTTGTAGATTCTAAGGGCCCAACGCCTGGGCCACCATCTGCCGCTTTCCCCAGGCCTTTATCAAGGTGCTGGATCAAAGGCAGAGCAGCCAGAATGCTGGCACCATACGTCACACTCTTTCTTCTCACATACCTAAAGTCTCTGTCACAGGTTTACTCCATTAATAGCATAAAACAATTTTCTTACCAGAAATGGTTTCTCCTAAAACAAAATTTCAACATAAAGTTTAACAAGTCAGTTTTAATCAACTTTTAAATTTGATGAACAATAAACCTGCTTGGTACACGTAGGATTGAACAGAAAACTAAGTAGAAGTTTTAACTCATTCAACTCAGATTTCCACATCCCACGCTACAAAGTCTCCTCACCACTGCCAAAAGTCAACTGTGCATTAACACGTACATTACTTACCAAATCTTGGGCTAGGAATGACTGTCTCTCATAAAACAATTCAGAGGATACAGTGTTACCTGGAAATTGTACCGTATTCAGGCATTAAATAAATACATTATCTTCTGACTAAATCTAAATTAATATTCAGTAAGTCTGAAGAGAGTTTTCATCTATGAAAAATACCTCTTGACTTCATATTTATTATCAATTGCAATGATGCATTTTCAGAAGCATACAACATCACTGATATTTCAAGGTAAAAACCTATCAGATCAGAGATAATATTATCATCTCTCACATAAAACAGATCCATACATCTTTGAGAAAATGGCCAACTGAATTCATTTCTTCTTAATTATGAATTCAGTGTTTGGAAAAAATCCAAAAAATGTAGAGCAATTTAGGAGTAAAAGTCTTGCTTGCTTTCATCTATCTCAAACTAATACCAACAGTTGGATGTTTCTTTCTTATCCTTACTCTTCGTACTCACAAAACACATAAATAAATGTACACATACACTTAAAAATAAAAGCAGCATTCACTTGTACATACAGGTATATGAAATCAATTGTCAGGTTAACTGCAGCATCTCCAATTTTCTATCAAAAAAAAGTTATTGCCTATTGTACTCAAACTGCAAACTATAGGGACAAATAAAACTACTCAAATACATCAAATAGCTTTACTGTGGTAATTTATGTAAACCTCATTCATTTTAAATGTTACTAGAGGAAGAGGTAATTTCCTTTTTATTATCTTTATTTCTAAACTCCGGATTTCAAAAACCCTCATCAGGCCATTAATTTGTCATAGTTTGCATAGATTACACTATCCGATTCATACTTTGAAAGTTTAAAAACAAAAGACTCTGGACTCCCACATGCGCATCATTCAAAGTCCAGTTGCTACACTTGCAATCTAGCTCTCTGTCAAAAGGCCTAGGAAAGCAGTGTTGGATGATCCAAGGGCTGAGATCCCCACACCCCAGTGAGAGATGTGGACGAAGCTTTGGTCTGACTCATCCCTGGCCATTTTAACCACCAGAGGAGTGAACTAGTGGATGGAAGATCTCTCTCCCTTCTTCCCTTTCTGTCTCTACCTTTAAGTTCCACTTTCAAATAAACAAATAAATCTGAAAGGAAGGAAGGAAGGAAGGAGAGAGAAAAAGAAAACTCACAGAAAATATATCGTTTCCTTTTCTAGTTCTCTGTATGTCAAAACCAACATTACTTGTTTCAAATACTTGGAGGAAATACAAAAATCTAACAAAATTTACTTGATATCCAAAGAACCTGTGCTTGTAATTTTAAAGCAGCACCAAAAAAATGATTTGGTACTATATACTTATTTGCAGTATCCAAAAACTCTTAAATGACAAAATTATAAGTTTTAGATAACATACAAATGATCTGAGCAACCATTTATAATAAAAATATATTAAATGTTTACAATCAAGAATCAAATATAAACCTTCAGTCCTAAAAAATACAGAAATAATACTTCTAGTCTAGAAGGTAACAAACATATTGAAAATTAACCAATCTAAATCTCACTATATGGATAATTAAGATAGACATCTGATTTAAAAATCTGAAAAGCACGTTTTATAAAAAATTATTTCCACATATAAATGTAACTTCTTACAATATGCATGCTTTTAAATATAGGAACAGAAAAGGATATTTATAGGGAATTGGAAGTAGTGCGGTAGGCTGACCTTCAGTCCTGTGCATGCCATATACGCACCAGTTCATGCCCCAGCTGCTCCACTTCTGATCCAGCTCTCTGCTTCTAGCTTGGGAAAGCAGTAGGGGATGGCCAAAATCCTTTGGACCCTGCACCTGTGTGGAAGACCTAGAAGAAGCTACAGGATCCCAGCTTCAGATTAGCTTAGCTCTGGCTGTTGCAGCCAGCCACTTAGTGTGTGAACGAATGAACGGAAGCCCTTCTCTCCTCATTCCTCCTCTCTCTCTAAAATGCCTCTCAAATAAAAATAAGTAAGTACTTTAAAAACATTTAAAAGATATTTATGAAAAAAGACCATTAAAAGAAAATGTTTTAAACAGAATGTTTTATGCAGTTTCAAAAGAAAAATTATCGCTTTAACTCAACTAGAAATTTTCTTTGTTAATTTAAATAAAACAAAGCAATGCTTCATTTAAAACCCCAACACTTCAAAATATGACCAAGCCCTGTCTGTCGATGGCTTGGTAAGGAAGAAGTGATACAGTCAAGTGTAAAGAGAATCACGGCTTTGATGTTAATAAGGGAGCAATGACAAAAATGTCAAAGGTGTAGACATGCAGAATGTTCATTTATTAGGATGTGACTCTGCACTGATTAATTATATGCTCCTCAAAATACCTAGAATGCATGGGAAAAGCAAATTGAAGTGTTCCATCTTGTGCAATCTACTAAAACATTTTTAAATAGAACCAGCTCTAAAATGACAAGTACATGGGATACAATTTGTTACTTCTAAATGGTGCCAAATAATGAAATTCGTAGTAATAGTAATTGTAGCAAAGATGATGGTGATGGCTTCCACTGAACATAAAATTTAAAGAACTGCTTAGAAACTTAGAGATCATATTTTTGAGACTGAATTACAATTTTTTTTTTCAAGAGTAAGATGTTATAAAAGACATTATAAAAATGAACATACATCCATACGCAGAAAAGCACAAGTAGGGCTATAGGGATTGTTTTTGTAACTAAAAAAGTAAGTTTCCAAATTGCTTTAAATAGAACAGAGCATATTATTTAAGTAGTCATACATAACATACTTATCGTAAGTAGTTCATTCACTCAACTAAAGTGTACCAGGTTCCTACAATGCATGTTGCATGCTGGGGATGAAAATACAAATAAGATACGCCTATTATCTTCAAAGATTCACATTTGGGAAATCTCTGATTAACTCTTTCCTATCAATTTATGCCCCCAAATAGGCTAATATGGGTTGGATAAATATTGTTATTAATATCCAGCAATTAAGTTATCTTTCCTGAGATAATATAATTTTGCTATGAAATCTCATTTACTATTGTCAGATGACTACACTGATTTCATCAAGCTCATGTGGTATTTTTACCTCTGACCTGGTAACTATAAGCTCCTCTAGATTTCCTGCTACCTTTCTTCTCAGGCAGCAACACTATTTTCCATCTCTATCTAAAATACATTTTCAGGCATCTTAAACTTACGATCTTAGAACACGTCAACATTTCTGTGAACTTAAGTTTGAATTTATGATTTTAGTAGTCAAGGTATCATTTATAGCCATTGCAAAATTATGTTGATAGAATCAAACTATAAAATCAACACTTAGCAAAACTAATGCCGAAGTATACATCACACTAAAGAAAATGAATGGCTCTCAAGTCAGGAAGAACTGGTTGCAATGAGCGAGCATTGGCGGCACAGGAGATAAAGTCACAATCCCTGACATTGGAATCCCATATGGGTGCCGTTTGTGTCCCCGCTGCTCCACTACCTATCCAGCTCCATGCAAATCCCCCAGTGGAAGATGGGCAAAGAGTTTAAGCCCCTGCCACCCGTGTAGAAGACCCAGACAGTGTTACTGATTCCTGACTTTAACCTGGTTCAACCAGTCTTTGCAGCCATTTGGAGAGTGAAGCAGCAAATAGAAGATCTCTGTAATTCTCTGTCAGACACTGCCTCTCTGTATAAAAAAAATGACTTTCAAAATCTTAAAAAAAAAAAAAAGGTAAATAAGCAGAGGGAAGAAAGCGATAAGGAATCCCTACAAGTATTTTAGTTGTTCCTGGATCTAAGGAATCTAAATCCATGTCCACTCAAGAGAAGGACTTGCACAAAAAAAGTTCAGCCCAGGAATGGCAATGCTATCTATCTCTAATATGATATTGAATGTATTAGGCTCTCTTAGAGTGATGCTATTAAACATTTGGGTTATATAACTCACTCCTTTTTTTCAGATTCCTTGCCCACTAAATGGCGTTCGCTGATTACCCACATAGGTCAGTACACAAGAACAAAGAGCTCTAATCAAGCCAACTAGAGTGATCCATATCTAATGCTGGCTGGAGTTTTCTCTGTTCTTTCTTTTCTTAACTTTGTGTGTGTGTGTGTGTGTTTACTCAATTTTTAATCAAGGTATAGACATATATCAGCACTTTGCCTTTAAATATCAATTTTGTAAGCTCATGTAAATAGGAGTCACCAATGGGACAGGGATCCAATACTCGCAAGGATGAGGACCAAATTCTGTATTTTTTCTGATGAAAAATGAGTATCTGTTTGCCATCCCGTCTTGGTCTCACTATGTATCTTTGCAACTTACACACTTTTGACAAACTTGAGAGGCAAAATGTAAAAAGCAATAAATTCATTTAAAGTAGATATCAATTATGGTGAGCACATCATTCCTGTTTACTTGGGATAGGCTGCATTGTCATGTCAAATAAAAAGTCAATTCATTTGGATCACCACAGTTAATATCCTTCTCATCAAAACACCCAAACATATTTTGGAACCCCAAAACCCACAGTGTATCAAAGTAAATGTTCATTGAATCAGTGATTAAAGGATGAAAGATATCTCTCTAGGGAGATTCCTGAATCCTGAATCTCCACACACAGGAAATCTCAGAAGAAGTATTTTCATCATTAACATTCATTTGAAATTCCATGGTGTCTTGGGTAATCAGAGTTCATATTTTTAAGATGGAATTTTATAATAAATGCTTCAAAACAGTAAGAACATTAATTAAGATGTTTTCTCTAGCACACTTTCTCCTCTATATAATTTTACCCACAGGATATATATATATATGTGTGTGTGTGTGTGTGTGCGCGCATATATATATTTACACACAAATACATGTATAAATACACTTATTTATTGAAGTATATACCAAATCATTTGGCATTTAAGTAAATACCAAAATTATATAAGCCATGTCTCAAGATCTCAAAGTTTTCAGAAAGGCTCCAGATTACAGTGTTAATTTATTTGACTATTAGTGTGGTAAAAATCCCCACTGTTAGCAATAAATATACCACTGAATTTTAGAGAGGAATAAAATGTGTTTAAATACTATTGAGTCAATCACACTAATTAATAAACTCCTGAGACTGCCAATGAAAAAAACAATATTAATCTTGCGCCCACATACTTCTTCTGTACAGACTTTTGATCTAATGGAGCAACAAGGGATGTAACACCACTGATCAAATGCTAAAAATTAAGGTTGGGTTTTTAAAGAAATATGAGACCATTGATCAATATAGGAGCAAAATAATCCAAATTACTGACTACATTTAGCTATCACCCCTTAGGAAAATGCACACTTCAATCTAATGTATCCACATGAACCTATACCCGATTGCTATTTTCTTCCAAATTCTACGCCACTGGGAGCTTTACATCTTGAATCCAAAATGATACTAAACTCTTTTCCTGGAAATCTGTCCAAGTATTTCCTATCTTTGTTACTGGAGTCCATAACATCAGCCCATTAATTTGGGGAACATCCTGCATAACTCCAACATCCAAGCTCTGCCACTTTAAGATGTTAAATAGTACCCAAGCATGCACCATCCTTATAGACTGTTGCAATCCACAAACGTCCTTTCCCACATTACGATTAGTAAATCAAGACATAAAGCATGGGGTATACATTTAGTAGTTGTTAGGATGCTGGGTGCAGATGCCGGCATCCTCCAATGGAGTACATACACTCAACACTTGGTTCCAGCTCTGACTCCAGTTTCCTGTTAGTGTAGACCCTGGCCAGCAGTGGTGATGGCTCTAGTGATGAGCTTCCTGCCACGCATATGACCCTGAAGTGCTTTTGAGGACATTTAGGGAGTGAATTGGCAAACGGAAGCTCTCTGTGCCTTTTTGCTTCTCAAGTAAACAAATAAAAACTAAATTTAAAAAGGCTTGAATTCACCTGCTTTGATTAAACCCTTGGCTCCTTCAAAATGAAAGCCAACTTTCGTCTCATCCAGATTTCCCATCTTGCCTGATTAACTGCCAGGAGTCATCTCCAGCATCAGATTCCTAGACTTCAACTTCACACCCTAGAAACACAAATCGGCTTGTATTTCCAAGAATATTGCACATCGTTTCTCACCTCTCATTGTGGGTATATCATTAACTTAAAAAAATTTTTTTTTCTTCTACCTTTCCCCTAAATCCTATTCATTTAATAAGCCCCAGGTAAGGCAGTCTTTCCCTTCAGGAAATCCCCCACAATAATCAAGGCACTGAACTCACTACAATACAATGTTTCAATGTCTATTCTCACACTATTGGAGCAGAAGGATGCTATAGTATTCACCTTCAGATCCACTTTACAACACCTGGCACATAGCAAGCAGACCACAAATATTTGTTGAAGTAATCAAGTAGAATGAGACAGCTAAGGGTCAAATGAATATAAGTAATTATATTTCAAGCTACATCGAGTTTAAAACACCTAAACTGTTACTTGCACATGCACAATTAGCAAGAATCAGGTCTACATCTTTATTAGGTGTCTTCAGAGAATTTATCCAAGCCATCCAAGGAGATTGCATTTTCTCATTCTTAAAAAAAGATTTATTTACTTATTTGAAAGAGTGACATTGAGAAGGAGAGACACAGAGAAAGAGATCTTCTACTTGCTATTTGACTCTCCAAATGGCTGTTCAACAGCCAAGTCTCGGTTAAGCTATAGCCAGGAGCCAGGAACTTCGTCTAGTCCTCTATCATGATAGCAGGGACCCAGGTACCTGGGCCACTCTCCACTACTTCCCCAGATACAACAGTAGGAAACTGGATGGGC